TAAAAGGAAGTAAAATACAAATAACAATAAGAACATAAAAAACCATATCATACACGCATGGCAATAAATTATTTGTTAAGATCTATCAGAAGCACTGTGGAATGTGACAAATTCACCTAGGTCATAAAAACCGCAGTCCGATAGCTTGTTCCGCAAACGTCTTTTGAAAAGCCCTACGGAGTTTACGTTTTTGATCTCCGGAGGTAATAATTTAAAAAAGTATATTCCTGCTGTTGTGGGAGATTTTGAATGAAACGTATGATATGACACATGCCTAACTATATTATTTTTATTACGAGTGCTATAGTCATGGATGTCAGTATGCTTAAGATAATCATTTCTGTGCTGAAAAATATATGTTAAAAGATTATAAAGATATATACATGCTACTGTAAGTATTTTGTGTTTAACAAATATCTCACGACAGGAAGATCTGGACCGTATTTTAAATATAATGCGAATGATTCTTTTTTGTAAGACAATTTCACTAGCCTGGCCCCACGCAGTAATGCCATATGAAATGACAGAGTGTACACATGCATAGTAGACATCCATTAATGCTGAGGTGTTTATCATCCTCCCTAGCGTAAGTATTAAAAACAGACTTTTCCCAAGTTTCTTACATGCGGAATCAATTTGCTCTGTCCATCCAGTTCAACATAAAATTTAAATTCATAGATTGTAACAACATTTGTTCGAATGGCATTGAACAACAGTGGTTATCGCTAAAACTAAATAATAAGACCATTGCGGAGGTGTTATCTATAGACCGCCATCTATTGCATTACGTTTACTTTCTAGCCTTGAGAATAACCTTGCTTCTATGTGCATTATCCATGATGAAGTTATAATGATGGGCGATGTGAATATTGACCTCATCGATAAGTCTTCCAGTCCCAGTAAAAAGATTTTTTAAACCATGGCATTATTCAATCTCGTTCAGGTTATTAATGAAGCCACAAGAATTACCAAGAATTCAGCTACAATGATTGATGTAATTTTTGTATCAAATACATTGCATTTGCGCAAGAGTGGCACTATAGGCATGGGAGATATAACTGATCACAGATTCTGCTTCTGTGAATTGAAGATTGAAATTCCAGAATACACTCCTAAAATATTTTCGTGGCTTTTCCCACTTTAATTATGATGAATTTGCTGAGGATACAACTGCTGTGAACTGGCATGATATAAATAATCTACAAAGTCTTGATGATAAAGTCCTCCATCTTACTGAGAACATTACCTTGCTGTATGACATACATGCTCCTCATACGTTCTACAGGTCGTACGTCACCTATACAATAAAATGTATAATAAATTTAAAACGAAAAGCTTACAATAAATTTAAAAGAACTAGATCTGAAACAGATCGATTGTTTTATAACGATCTTAGAAATTACTCAGGTGCGGCTTCAAGGAATGAAAAAACAGCTTATATAAAATATCAACTAAATAACAACAGGAATAATCCCAAGCAACTATGGAAAGACTTCGCTAAATGTAATATACATCAAAAATCCACTAATCAGATATCTCAGGGCATTGAAGACGCAGAAGCCACCAACAATCACTTTGTGAACTCGTTGCCAACAATTCAACCTGATGAGTTATTTCTTAGCACTTCATCTGGACAGAAAAAGTCACTCTTAACTAAAAGTTCGTTCCATCTAGTTACATCTGATGATATTGAAAAGAAACTTAGAGAAGTGAAATCAAATGCTGCTGGTATAGATGGTATTACTGCAACCATGCTGAAAAATGTATTTTCTTTTTGCAAAAGTGAAATAACGGATATCACAAATCAATCTCTGAACACAGGACAGGTACCAACATTATGCAAGAAATCAGCTGTAACGCCACTAGCAAAAGTCAATAACGCTATACAGATGAAGGATTTGAGACCAGTAAGCACCTTACCTGTGATGTCCAAGCTTGCAGAGAAAGTAGTACCTGACCAACTTCGTGACCATCTATAAGTAAATAAAGTCCTCCCCGATACACAGTCGGGATTCAGAAAACTACACAACACATCCACAGCGCTTATAAAAGTAACTAGCGACATAGTCAAGTTCATGGTGATGTTATGGTACGATTCCACCAAAATAGTGTTCAGCACATTTGTTTACAAACATTTTGTGTGAAACTCCAGCATTGTATGTGCTAACTGGTATCGAATTTATCTTCTGTGTCCACCGGCAAAGCAGTGCATAACTTTTGTAAGCGTACAGTGTAGCACATTTGTGCACGAACATGTTTACCAAGCAAAGTTCTCACTAACTCCAGTTCTTAATATGGACGGGCGGGAATACGTAGTGTTTTGTGCTGCAGCTTGTGTTTTAATAGGTAGACTGCTTAAAAAGAAACGAAGAAGAAAACCACGATGTTGGGTGAGGTCTTTTCTACAGCGATGGAATGAAGAAACGAATAGATTTGTAGAAGAAATAAAAGTAGATCCCTTAAGTGGATTTAAAAATTTTACTCGTATATCGTGTGAAGATTTTGAGTTGCTGGTCAATGCACTTAGTCCTCATATTGCAAAGCACGACACCAACTACAGAAAATGTGTCCCTGTTTCAATAAGGCTTATTTATAGCTTTTATTGCCCAACAGATAATATTCCATTTATAGGCCAAAATCTTAAATTAGAAATATTACAAAAGCCTAACTTATAAAACTATCTAAGGCGCTCTCGCAGAACACATTTTAGCTCCGAAATAGAACATAAAATTGTCACAAAACTTACAAATACTATTATAATTCAAACACATAACCCTTTCAGGTGATTTCAAAATCAAATTTGTGTTAGCACGACTGCACAAGAAAGTAACATTACATCTTGAAACGAATCTTGGCGTTAAAAACTGTTGTTTTAATAAGAATATAAAATAACAAATAATAAATCTGAAAACCCAGAACCGATTTTGTATTCGCTATTTTCTTCTTTTCTCTTCGGTACCGAGCCAAAATAATCTTCCATTTTCTCATAACCTCAGTCGAGTCACAATTGAAACTTTGAGCCAACTCTTGAGTGGCGTCCTGTTTTTTGTTTCTGTTTTTATAATCATGGTGCCTGGAATCCCATAGAAGAGGATAAGTATCAATTTATAATCCTATCATTCGCCCAGTCCATTTTAAATTTCGTAAAAGAAGTGCGCGTACAAACAAATGTTTTTAGTCCAGGAGCGGAAGCAATACTGAGTTCGCGAACAACAAGTATGTATCCGGCGACGCGAGTCCACTGCTTGAATGTGCGCGCGCACAAAAGTAACTGATGTTCGCGAACGTTTCCGAAATGTTTGCGCACCATTTGCTATTGTTTGCGTGAGTGAGTCGACCAGAAGAAATATTTGTGCTGTACACTGTGCATTAGAGTGCCGCACAGTTCAGCACACTGGTGGAATCGCATCTTTAGAGTGCCGCACAGTTCAGCACACTGGTGGAATCGCATCTTTAGATTACAGTAAGGCATTTGACATGGCCAACCATGAAGTATTATGTAAAAAGCTACAATATTATGGTTTGTCTAGTAATCCTTACTACGGTTCAACAACTACCTGACTGGCAGGTCCCAGTGCACAAAGATATTTAACAAAATGTCCACTTTACAAAATGTAACTTCTGGTGATCCGCAAGTAAGTGTATTAGATCCATTACTATTTACATTCTATACATCTGATTTTTTAAATTTTATATCGCATGATTGGAATATACATCTATATGCTAATGATGTACAAATGTATAAAGCTTGCAAGCCAAATGAAGTTAATTCGTTGATTTTAGAATTAAATGTAAGTCTAGAAATAATTGCAAACTATTAAAAAAATTGTTGTTTGAAACTGAATCCCTCAAAAACTAAACCTTGCTGCATTTTTTCTAGATTAAATACTTCAAAATTTAAAGAATTGATGTGTACCGACATTGTTTTAGGTGATACAGCTGTTGAAATTGTAGAAGAGACTAAGAATTTAGGCATTTTATTGGACACAAATTTAAGTTTTGAGAACCATGCCATTAATAAACTTCGAGTATGCTATTGTAAATATAAGTCACTTTGGAGATACAAACATGTTTTAACCATTGATACGAGTATAAAATTAAGACTTACCAATGCACTAATCCTCACTCATCTAGACTATGGAGCTACAGTATATTATAATTTTCTTACGGAAATGACTACTGGATATTATGTGAGAGAAAATATTTTAAAATTCAAGTATCGTGTATTACTTCAGTATGGAACTCTACTGTATGGAGTTTTAAAGTATAAATTGCCCTTATATCTGTTTATTGCTTTGGAGAAGAGATGTTCACTCCGCCAAGTTTCCTTACGCAACAATGCCTATTTCAACGTCTAAATTCATAAAATGTTTCACTTACACGGCACCATATCTACTGAACGATTATTTAGAGATTTTTGAAGCACCTCCCATCCAAAACTTCAGAAATGAGATGGAAAAAGTACTACTACAGCTACAAAGATTTGAATCCACAAATTAAATTTATGGCGCTTGCTACACTATCTTCCATTAACACTCAAACTATATCGTATTATATACTGTGTTGTGCATAATATTTTTTGTGAATACTAATCATTCTGTTGATGTTAAAAAAATGCTCATGAAATTAACTTTTTAGGGGGAGGTGAAAAATGGCCGTGCCAATCCTCTTTCCTTTTGGAATTTTGGCGTTTTTATATTTTTTATGTATATACATTCCAATAAAAATTATTATTATTATTATTATTATTACGATTATTATATAATTGAATCAGAATCGCTACCAACTGCTGATTATACACACTTAGTAGATAATCTTTTCAATTCACTTAATAGCTCGCAATTTAATTCAGTAGCTGGAAAACCATATAGGTGTGCTCTTTCAGAAACGTCACCTCATTGACAATTTTGGTCCAAAATGTTACCGTCTCTTTCTAGCTCGAAAATTTTTTGATAAGGACACTGGAGTTGACAAATCAAATTATTTGAAATTTGTTTAAGGTTGGCAAATAACAATTAGATCTGTTATGTCACTCTGGAGGGATCCCAAGGAGACGGGCTTCAAATATCTTTGTTTGACAAATTTAAATCAAGATTCCCTGGAAAATTTGTTTGGTCATGTAAGACAGCATGGTATCTTCAATGCAAATCCGACCTGGCATCAGTTTGTTGCTGCCTTAAAAACAGTAGTTATTAATAATTCCAGCTCACCTCTTTCTAAAGGTAATTGCGAAATCGATTTTTGTGATACTCTGGTCGATTTCCGTGTTTTTTTTTTTGATAAATACGACGATTAATTGTAACAAGTTACAGTGAGTTTTGTACCTTGGGGATGGCTGCATCCGGCTCGGTATGTAACATTTTACACTATAACGAAGCAAAGGGTGAAGTGCATACAACAGATACATTGGCAAAGGCAATCACGAATCAAAGAAAGAGTAATCGGTGGTCGATGGTAATATTTTTCCATCTACTGGACATTGGTGGCATCAATGCCTATAAACTACTAAGAATGTTTTTGTTGAAGTTGGGCCAAGAATTAATAAGGAAATCTATAATTCATAGGTTCCATAATGACCAGCATTTACATTCTAATATAGAGCAATCCATGTTAACCATTTTGTCATAATTAAATGTAAGTAATGACTAACCAGTTCCCGTTATTGGCTGACAGCAGCGATGTTTCTTTTGCGACAAACGTAAAGACAGGAAATCTCGAAAATTTTGTATTCGGTGCAATTAGTACGTATGTGCAGAACATTAAAAAAATGTTACAGTTTTGTAACAAGTGTAATAGCTGAATTATTATGTAAAATATCACGGATTCTTATATATTATATTTTTCTTAACTACTTTTCTTTATATTATAATGATTTCATATTGTTTTCCAAATGTGTCTATTTTTTAATGTTTACAGCATACCTAAGTAAAGATATATATATATATATATATATATATATATATATATTTTGATCGGAATATGTTTATTTTTGATTAATCACAAATTAAAAAAAACAAGCCAAAAAAATGTTGGGGTACATTTGTACCCCACTCGGTACTCAATATAGGTTTTTGACCACGGGCTTATGAAGGGTAATAATATAGAGAAAGGCCGGGATGTCTAAAAATACGTTTATATACTGTCAATGTACTCATCATAATCATTTATATGTTTAACTATTTAATAAATATTTTATTAATTATCCCATAATTGGTTACCAGCAAAACTTCTGAAACAGGTCTTTCCTTCATTGAGGATATTGGGAAATATCACTTTCAGCAGATCTTATATTGTAAACAAACTAAGTCCCCGGCACATTTCCTAGCATTTGTAATCTCCCGGCGCATTTTTTTAATTTCTTCGACAGTTCCTGCTGATCTCCAGGCAAGTAGGCGGCGCCACCGTCTCACAAACATCAACGGTGTTGCTTTCATTTAACATGCAGCTCCCACTTCTTTAGTCTTACGTGTTTTGTGGTCTACCACTTCGCCACTGCTGATGCCTGGAGGCAGTCGACTAGCTTAACCATCAGAGTCTGGAAGAGTACTTGTCAAGAACAATCAAACTCGATGAGTTTCTGTCGTCCCCATGTCCATTTTCCGGCTCCATCATCAAATCAACTCCATGTAATAGTTGATATTAATTACATTTTCATAGTAGATAAATATGTCCGCCTTACTGGACTTGGATTGCAGTCGGTTTACTTATCGTGCTTCGCTAATCAATCCTTTCCTTTAGATACCCATACCATAGGGATTAAAATGGAAGTAACAAATCGACATTTTTCGAAGGCCGCCATATTGGATTTAGATTGACGTCACTTTGTGCTTCTCTCATCAAGACTTTTCATTTGATACCCATATCATAGTGGTTACTATAGAAATGATAAATCGCCATTTGGTTACATCCGCCATATTGAGTTCAGGATGGCTGCATTTAACTTACTGTGTATTGATATGATAACTAAACGTGTATACAAAATAATAACTAGTTTAAGTTCACTGACTCAAAACTCATTTTCAAGATTTGTCCAACTCTAACATACCCAATATACTAACATACTAACAGGTTGAAAGCTTGTAAAAAATAGCTACGATATCCAGTCAGATATTTTTGGGCATTTTTATGCCATAAAATTTATTTTTGGAAATTTTTCGTAATTTATCAAATGTAGAAGGCCTGTCACAAAGTACAAATGACCAATATCCAAACAACACTATATGAATATTACTGTTATAGCTTTTAAACAATAATCATTTCTTTCAGGCCTCGATTTTCCGATCAGGCTAACAAGCCTACCGCGATTTCATCACGACCCGCTTCATTTCCGAAACAAATGATTGTAATTTAATATTCGCAGGCTGCTGCGATCGACACTCATCGGCTAAATATGGCAAATTATCACCAGTTTCTAACTCCTGCACCCCCAGATATACACCAGCAGGGTAGCGGATCATCATCACGGAATCTGATACAGTGGTGGAACATAATATTACAAAGTGCTCTCTAGTATTACAATTCAGAGGATGTCATCTACAAAATCATAAAAAATGACAAAATCACATTAGGCTGAATAGGATGTTTGTTTTCCATCTATGCACCTATAACCAATCGTATGCAAGATTGTTTCATGCCTTTTAGCAACCATTAGTATGGTATATGTCTAGTCATCAATATTCGATTACTGCAAAACTTAGTATTATAGGTAGTGTGCGAAATCCAAAGGTGGTGAGTCTTGCTAATCTTCGTACTACCGACCTCTTCATACAATACCAAAAAGCCACACTTTCCCGGTATCTCTGAAAGACAGATTACGGATCTTAAATGACGTCTTCCACGTAGGCGTCCCATCGTCACTCAGGAGTGTACTAAGTACTGAAAAAGCTACCAGCATTAACATACTACGCAAAAGTTGCATAAATCGCTTATCGTTACATACGTACACACTCAAATAGCTAACTAGGTGTTCGCTAATCTTGCAAAAAATTGTCGTATTCTAGACTTATCTCTATGCAACATATTGAATGAAAAGGTCGAACGTTTTAGCAAAGTCTTGTCCTTAAACTCCTTTCGACGTGGGTGTCTTCTGTGATTCTCGAATTTAACAAACCGTCAACGTCATCGAAAAGATAAGAAAAATGCGATCTATTCTTTTTCCTTGGAATTTTACTTTTCTTTCTTATCCCCGTTCTTGACATCGTTGGTCATTAATCAGCTCCGTGCGTCATTATAACTATCTCGTATGTGATATTTTTTTGTCAGGGAAAGCTTTTATAGCTACTATCAGGCAGAAAAACACGACAGTATTATCCTGACGGCCCTTTCTGCCCGAAGTGTGAGATTCTCCAGTAATGGAGTACTGACTAAAACCCCACGGTAATGCTTGTTGCAATTCTTCATAATGGGTAGCGTTGAGCTAGGTTTTCATACCGAAGGTGTTAGTCATCTATTCTCTATCGTACACATACATACCCTTGCACAAGTACAACCAAACAAAATATAAACCTACTATTGGTTCCTTGGTCTATTTTGGTTCTGCCGTCCTTTTCTCAGCATCGTTCGTCTCACTATTGGTTGAATATCAATCCATTCTCCCTCGTGTATATGCGTGGCAAAATTGTCAGCAGTGAGCCTCACTACTATCTCACCTACTACATTCTAGTAGGTGATTAGGAGTATCATCCTCTTCATTCCAATATACGCAATTCGCGTACTCTCTCTTTCCTACCTTTTTCAGGTAACTGTCCAAACAACCAACTGTCCAGTATAGTAATCTATCCGCACCGCTCCTTTGTCAATCCAAGTTTTAATATCTGGAATCAGTCTTCTGGTCCGTGCACCATGGCCAGTTGCATCACATATCTGCTGCCATCTGACAAATAGTGCCTCTCTTGCGTCGCTTGTAGCTTCGACGCCAATTTCATCCAGGGAACATCTCTCCGCAGCCAGCAAATCAATTGATGGGATACCAGCCACCACCAGCAGCGCATCGGTCGACACCGTTCTGTAAGCGCGCACCACGCGCACCAATACTTTTCGCTGGCTTCTCGATATTATCTGTCTATATTTCTTTTCCCTCAAGGCCTTGTTATATAGGAGCTTCGTACAGGATAATCGAGTTTGGCACCCCTGCCAAAATCCTGCACCTCTCACTGCTGGGGCCTCCGTCAAATGGCAATAGCTATATCAGAGATACAACGACTTTATTTACCTTGTCAGTAGTGTGCCGTTCATGTTCAATCATATTCAATCTTTCTCAAGCCACACACCCAGATACTTAATTGCATTTTGGCTCCGAATCTCGGAAATATCAACATTAACAGCTAATGAACATAGCTTTTGTCTGCCAGAAAGTATAACTACTTACGTCTTCTCAAGCCATTTTCTTCCATCCATATGGTAATTCTCGTAGGTCTGTATGCCAAGAGTCGTATCTCTCTCCTTGCTAGTCACTACCATCGCAAGGTCGTCAGCATACGCTATCAAGCAAATTCCCGGCAGCACCTTTAACCGACGAACCCCATCGTAGAACACGTACCAAATCAACCGCCACTCCCATGGTTACCTTCATCGTCTTTTGACCTACCATAAGTGTCCTGTCATCAAAGTAGCTCGTTCGACGATTTTCTGCCATTGTGCCATGTTAAAGCCATTCTTAACGTCAAAAGCTTCTTACTACTATAGCTGCCGCTATCCGCTACTTTCTGTGACACTGCACTAAATCATCTATGGCAGACATTCCCTTTCTGAAACCATATTGCGAGGGAGACAGTCCGTTGTTTTCCTCGACGTATTTTCTTAGCTTACCTTCTATCAGCTTTCCAAGTGCATATACAGATGTCTATATTTGATTTCCTTAACGGTGGCTTTCAGAGGTTTTGAATTGGGTACCAAGCCAGCCTCTTTCCACCTCTTTGGAAAGACTCCCGTTCAAGCATTCATTCATAACAGACAGCACGATTTCGGATATCTTTAATCATCGCTTTCACGATCTTATTTAGTATTTCATCTAGTCCTGGTGCCTTACCTGTTTTTACCATTTTTGTAAACCACGTCGAAGGAGTTGTCACATGCTGTTATGACTACATCCTCCAGCAGCTGACCGATGTCATTGTAATCATCCAGTTTTGTATTTCATAGGGCTATCTGCAGATTTCCGGGGAATGCATTCTAATTTAGCTACATTTATCTTCCACCTGCGGATCTTATGTGGCTGTGGTCTTTCATGTTTGTTAGTTTTCATTTCAAACATAATATGTTTATGGGGCTTAGGTTTTCATCATGAGCACTTTACAGTTTTTGATCTAACCAAATGTCTATATAGGATGTTTGGCTTCCTCTGACAAAGGTTG